GGAGTGGTCATTCCGGGCCTTGTCTGAAAATATTTGCAGTAGAATGCTGCTCAGTTTTCCTGGAGAGATGCAAGTGAATGACCCTATTTGTTCTCAGCAAACATACCAGACTAGGATTTGCTCTAAAGGCATCTCAAAGGCAGGGAAGCCATTGGTCCGACAACAGCCTCTGCTCACTGTTCTGCCTCTTCTAGCCCAGGCAGGCTCTTCGTCCTGGCTCCTAACAATGACCTTGAAGAAGGGCACGTGGGGTGGGTTGAAGCATGTCTCTGCCTCTGAGGAGCCGGCACCCACCTCTCTGGGCCTCTGGAGCTCCCCTGTAGCCGCAGGGGAGGAACAGGCCCTGAGACTCAGCTGCCCACTGCTGTGAGTTAGTTAATGAAGGGGCCCCTGTGGGCTGGAGTCTTCCTCAGTCTATAGCAGCGGTTCTCAACCTGTGGGTCGCGACCCCTTTGGCGGTTGAACGACCCTTTCACAGGGGTCGCCTAAGACCATCCTGCATATCAGATATTTACATGACGATTCATAACAGTAGCAACATTACAGTTATGAAGTAGCAATGAAAATAATTTTAAGGTTGGGTCACAACATGAGGAACTCTATTTAAAGGGCCAGAAGGTTGAGAACCACTGGTCTAGAGGGTGTGTTGGGCCAATGATCTCAAGGTTTCCCTCTGGTGGTAAGATTTAGCGATTTGTCTTCTGATCCCAGTACAGATACAGGTGTTCCTCTGGCCCTGGAGACACAGTGGGGACTCACACAGCTTCCATAAACTCTTCGTTTCTGGGGCAATGGTGGGAATGGGGGTGCAGGGGAAAGCGAGATGCTGCTGGTAATCTCTATGAAGAAATGATGGGCAGGGCGTGTTCTGTCCTGTTGGATGGGCAGGGGGTGGGGCCCATCTGTTTTGTGCGAATAGGAAGAAGTGAATCCAGGGATGGAGTGGGAAGCAAAGAGGATTGTAGAATAAGGTCAGCAGGACCAGGACATTTCGCCTGAGTCTGGCCAGGTCGCCCAAAGCTCTCCGTTCCTGGCACCCTGGCACCAAGCTGGCTGACCCGGGGCACCCAGCATGAACGCAGCACTTGGCACCACGTATTCTGTCTTCATTGCTCGCTTTTATCAGGGATGGTTCTCACTCTTCTTCCTCATCACCAGAGGCTCAGTTCAGACAGCTTTTTCTTTCCTTCTCTCTAAACAATGGCCTTATGGAGATGGGACCCACATACCATAGAATTCACTGCTCCACAGCATGTAATCCAGTGGTGTTTAGTATATTCACAGAGATGTATGCAGTTTTTCTTTTTTGTACCTGGAGAAACAAAATATAAATAGTTTGTGTGGATTATGATTTCAGATATGTCTGGACTTATTGTTTTCTTTTCAAATTTGTCTACTTACCATGTTTTCTTGTTTGTTTTCTATTTATTTTTTTCCTTCCTGCCTTTGCTTGGATTTATGGAGTTCATTGTATTCCCTTTTGCCTTCTTATAATTTGTAAGCATCACCAACTTATGGTGGGACATTCATCCTTGATTCAGATACAAACACAATATAGTTTCATGTCTACTTGATAGAGGTACTTCTCTTCAGGAAAAAATTAAAGGCAAGTGCAGAGATTACACTCACATAGAACAAATATAACAGTAGGCAACCTTTTAAGTGGGCCACTTAGAAACTCTCTCATGCTCACAAAAGCAGAGACTCTCGGGTCAGGTCATCATCATCATCATCATCATCATCATTTTAAACTAGAGGCCCGGTGCACAAAAATTTGTGCACTCAGAGCGGGAGGGGGGGCATCCCTCGGCCTGGCCTATGCCCTCTCACAGTCCAGGACCCCTCAGGGGATGTCCACCTGCTGGCTTAAGCCCGCTCCCCAGGGGATTAGGCCTAAGCTGGCATTCAGACATCTCTGACAGCCCAGGAGCCCTCAGGGGATGTCCGACTGAGGCTTAGGCCCACTCACAGTTGGACATAACCCACAGTTGGACATCCTTAGCACTGCCGCAGAGGTTAGAGAGGCTCCCACCACTGCCACTACACTGGCAGCCATCAGCCACGCTTGTTGCTGAGTGGCGCTCCCCCTGTGGGAGTGCACTGACCACTAGGGGGCAGCTCCTGCATTGAGTGTCTGCCCCCTGGTAGTCAGTGCGTGGCATAGTGACCAGTCCTTCTGGTTGGACCATCGTTAGGGGCAATTTGCATATTACTCTTTTATTATATAGTATTAGTTTTATCAAGGTATAAGCTATATGCAAGGAAATTGACCAGTTTTGAGAGTAAGTTCAGTGAGCTTTGACCAACATGATATAAAACATCCCATCACCCCGTAAGTTCCCCCATGGCCCTTGGAAGTCTGTATCTTCCTCTGCTACCTGGGCCCTGGACTACATTGATTTTTCTTTTAATCACATTAGTATTGATTTTCTAGAAAAGAAATCATACGCTATGTAGTCTTTTGTGGCTGGCATCTTCTATTTAGTAAAGTGTTTCTCAACTTTTTTATTGCCCCCCCCAACAGTCTTTTTAGACATTTTCCCATAATTGTCCCTCCCTTTCTTATGAAATTTTAATACCATAGATAGGCTGTATGTCTGTTTATGTAGTATATGTACATGTGTGTTTTATACATAAGTAGTAGTTTTTCACACCTCAAGAACAAACTTTTGACCCCTTGGGGGCGATATTGAGAATACATGATTTAGTAAGATGTTTTTGTCATTCATTGGTATTGTGTATATTAGTAGTTGCTTCATTTTTTAAAAAAATATCTTTTTATTGATTTCAGAGAGAGGAAGGGAATGGGAGAAAAAGATAGAAACATCAATGATGAGAGAGAACCATTGATCAGCTGTCTCCCACATGACCCTACCAGGGACCAAACCTGAAACCCAGGCATGTGCCCTGACTGGGAATTGAATGTGATCTCCTGGTTCATAGGTCACTGCTCAACCACTGAGCCACACCAGCCGGGCATTGGTTCATTTTTATTGCTGGGTAATTTTGGTTGTATGAAGAAACATTCAAGAGAAGAATAAGAATAATTGTAAATGTGTTATGATGGTCAGGTATTAAGTGAATAATGTAATATCCTTCCTCGCATTTGTTCCTGGTGCCAATACACAGATCTCTAATCACACATACACTCAAGTCAGAAATCTGAGAGTAATTGAGACACTTCTTTCCCCATATACATCCTTCAAATCCTGTCAATTTCATCTCTACATTATTTCTTGAATCTGGTCTCAAGGGATCAGATTTTGCCATAACCCAGGACATTTTAAACATGTAAGGATTTTGATTCTTATCTTTAAAAAATAGGAAACCATTGAAGGAATTTAAATAATTTGACTATTGAAATGAATAGATCCTAAATCTTCCATTTAGTGGTAATGAGTTAGAATGTAGAAAAGGAATTAGGAAGGACCAAGACTGTTTAGGGCAGGGGTGGGCAACCTTTTTGTGAGTGCATGCCAAAACCAGCAAAATCTCTGACTCAAAATTCTTCTGCGTGCCAACCCTAATTTTTTGAGAACATGTTACACCTACTTGATATCTCTTAAGGTATACATATGTGAAGAACCTTGAAGAAATAATAAAATTCATTCAAGCGACAAAAACACAGTATATGATTATGAAAAATACATTTATTTTTTAATGTATACATGTACACTGATAGTCTGACAGAAAACTTTATGACTCCGTTTGATATTATCAGTGGGACTTTTGCTGCTGCATCACTGATGACAGAGATTTTACATCAGGTTTATATTTCGTGACCTTCAGAGATATGCACAAGCTACTACTTTCATCCATCAGGCTGCTCCTATTACGAGACTTAACAAAATTCATCACGAGAACAAAGATTCATACGCATATGTGGATGAAACCAAAACACTGTTCGGATCTAGGAAGGCAGGGAGAGTTAAGGCAGAGGCATAGAAATTGCTCTTAACCTCTCTCGTCAATCCATGTCTATGGTCTTTAAGATAACTTGTTATGTAAAATTATTTATTTATCTAAGATGCACCTACATTGAATTTATCTGAAATATAGAAAAGTTGATATTAAGAAAAAAATTGTAAATGGAAGATTATAAGAGAGGGTTTCGCCTGCCAGCAAAAGTTACTGGCATGCCATATTTGGCACGTGTGCCAGGGGTTGCCTACCCCTGGTCTAGGGGAAGGATCATTCAGGAGTCCTGAGGAAAAATAATAGTGGTTCTTTTATGGATGTGAGGTTGGGCGATGGAAGCCTTAGGAGATATGATGCGCTTTTGTGGGGCCCACGGACAAAACTTGGCCAAGGCCCTAATGCTGGGTGATATTATAACTGTGATTAGAAATTCAGGTATACCCTCCTCTTGCTTTTTGCTGCCTTGACTTAGACAATTTTTCCCCCCAAATGAATCATTATTTTAAATGAATTGAGCATAAATATTCTTGAATCATTTGCTGATGATTTGGAAGGAATTAGAGAATTAGAATCATTAAAAAATACATAGGTTGTCCCCCAAAACTGTATGCACACTTTGAATAATTATTAATTCTGATGGGTTAAATCTGAAAAGGAAGAAACATCCGTTGAACTATCAGCTCTTAAAGTATGTATACATTTTGTGTACTTAAAGGGTTCCCTCAACTTTTCATCATCTTATAATTTTTTTCCAGTGGTAGCTACAGGGCCAGTACCCATGTTTCAGCGTCAGACAATCTATAATCCAGCTTTATGCAAACTATCTTGACTATGTACATATATACATGTCTCTGGGGATCTCTGCATGAGGTCTTTCACCTACAAGAGATTTAGGATCTACATGTTTTCAGTCTAGAGTACACAGACACACATTCGACATAGTCTTCATTTTTTTTTACATATTTTTATTGATTTCAGAGAGGAAGGGAAAGAAAGAGCTAGAAATATCAATAATGAGAGCGAACCGTCAATCAGCTGCCTCCTCCACACCCCACACTGGGGATCGAGCCTGCAACCTGGGCATATGCCCTGTCCGGGAATCAAACTGTGACCTCCTGGTTCATAGATCGACGCTCAACCACAGAGCCACACTGGCTGGGCTTGTCTTCATTCTGAAGGCATGTAAAGTTGACGTCATGTAAACAGGTAAATGACACAGACACATTTCCAGTGCCGGCGGGGGTGGGGGGGGATGTACACTTACATGGAAGCTCTGGAAGTTCATCAATTACATGGGTGCTTTGTCTCTTCCAGGTGGCTTCTGAAGTATGTCTGCCAACAATAGTTCCTGCACACCTATACTGACATCCTGCTTAACCGGGATCTACGGCGCAGTGCTCATCGGCGGGCTGGTGGGCGTCATCTCCATTTTGTTCCTCCTCGTGAAGATGAACACCCGGTCAGTGACCACCACAGCGGTCGTGAACCTGGTGGTGGTCCACAGTGTCTTCCTGCTGACCGTGCCTTTCCGCCTGACCTACCTCATCAAGCAGAAGTGGACATTTGGGTTGCCCTTCTGCAAATTCGTGAGCGCCATGCTGCACATCCACATGTACCTCACGTTCCTGTTCTACCTGGTGATCCTGGTCATCAGGTACCTCATCTTCTTCAAGCGCAAGGACAAGGTGGAGTTCTACAGGAAACTGCATGCGGTGGCTGCCAGCGCTGGCCTGTGGCTGCTGGTGATTGTCATTATGGTGCCCCTGATTGCTTCACAGTACGGAAGTCTTGACGTGTATGATACGGACAACTGTTTTAACTTCCACAAAGAGCTTGCTTGGGCGTATGTGCGAGTCATCAACTATTTGATCGTTGCTGTTGTCATAGCCATTGCGCTGATTCTCTTGGTCTTCCAGATCTTCATCATTATGTCGATGGTGCGGAAGCTGCGTCACTCCTTACTGTCCCACCAGGAGTTCTGGGCCCAGTTGAAAAACCTGTTCTTTATAGGAGTCATCATGGTTTGCTTCCTTCCCTACCAGTTGTTTAGGATCTATTACTTGTACACTGTGGCGCTCTCAAGTGACTGCAACAGCGATATTGCATATTATAATGAAATCTTCTTGAGTGTAACGGCAATTAGCTGCTTTGACTTGCTGCTCTTTGTTCTTGGGGGAAGCCATTGGTTTAAGCAAAAGATAATTGACCTATGGAATTACCTCTTTTGCCATTAACCACACAATACAGTGTTCAGGTTTCCTTCCTTTACATCAGGAGTGAAAAAGAGTAGAGGGAGGTAGGAAGGATATTTTATGACTTCATGAAGACCATGCCTTGTGGCAGCCAAATGAAAGGACTTATTCATCCCAGTCCTTATTTAGTCCCTGCCATCTCTAAAGGACGCGCCCATGCTGAGACTCCTGGTGTTCTGTCCACCTGCAGTTGCAACACGGCGTTGTTTTTCAATGCACAGGGTCTCCTTGGCCCGTCCAAGCATCCTGGGTGTAATGGTTTCTGAGTTTTTCGAGTTTATTTTAATTTCCTCAGTCTGAAACATGGTCTCTCCTTAAGCTTTGAATTGGACTCAGCCCTGTAGTTGGTTCTTTTCATTCCAGGGAAAACCTTAGGTAAATGAATTCTGGGTGTAAGTCAGCTCCAAAGCCCAAGCTCTGCTTTGTTAACAAGATAGTTACACCGTCAACTCACACCCTGATAAAAGCAGATAAGCGGTGGGGGGAGGCCAGTAAGAAATTTTTCTGGATTATCAACACTTTGGTAGGAAGTCACTTATCTGGAAATCAGGAGAAACAGAACCCTTGGCCTTCTACTCTAATAAGATTATCTAGACTTTTCCTTTGAAAGGTCAAGTTTAAGGACTTGGGTCAACTTCCTCAATACCTCCAAAAATAATTTCAGGAATTTACTTAATATATCTAAATAATGGTAAGAGCATAACTTAGATCAATCTGCTGTATGCATTAAAATGAGTTCCCAAGGGAAGTACTTTTTTTCCCCTTTTCTGTTTTTGAATAATTGATAGAGGTCTTGGTCCACAGTTAATTTACATTTTCCTTGGACACAGAAAGCTATGCTGAAATCTTTGAGTTCTCTTCAACCCTTAAAGTTATGGGTCTTTAAATGAATGAAAACAATATTCTTTAGAACTTTTGAGAAATATGTAGAAAAATCATCTAACTATAAGATTAGGATGCTAAATTAATACTACATAAGCTTGTGAGTTTTCTTCCCTCCTGCCCATATTTCTACTATTTCCCTCAAACTTTCATAATCTTGATCTTCTTAAGGAACAGATCCAGTTTCATATTTAATGCCCAGAAAACCTGAAGCAATTCACAGTAGGAATAGAAGAAATGAATAAATTAGGTCATTTTTCCCCCCAGCGAGATAAATGTCCAGGATTTGAAGATTTTTCTTAATTTCTTCTTCTACCTAGATCCATAAATTTATCAGATGAATAAGAAATACCCATGTGAGTTTCTTTGATCACTAAAATTACTGAGTCATAGAAATTAACTTTGAGGAAGAAAAAGGAGCAACATACTGCATATGTCTTGTTCCCAAATTATTTTCTGGTTTGTTTTTGTTTTTTAATCCTCACCTGAGGATATTTTTCCATTGATTTTTAGAGAGAAAGTGGAAGAGAGAGGGAAAGACAGAAATATTAATGTGAGAGAAATACATCGATTGGTGGCCTCCTGCACTCACCCTGACTAGAGCCCGGGCTGGGGAGGAGCCTGCAACTGAGATACATGCCCTTGACCATAATTGAACCCAGGAACCTTCAGTACACAGGCCAATGCTCTATCCAATGAACCAAACCAGCTAGAGATATTTCCTGTTTTAATTTTATGTGTCCTCTTTTCTTTTTCAAGTTATATATTTTTTATTTCTTATTTGTATTCTTTCCCCATTTTTCTTAGGTTTATTTTTTTCTGACATTGACCCATAACATTTGTAAAAAAATTTCTGAGAGCCATAACAATTTTAAGAAAATTTTTAACACCATAAACTTTGTAAGAAAATAATTATAGTAAAATATTTAAAAGCTTTTAAAATTACTTATGAAAAACAGACACATAGACACAAAGAGAGCCCATACATAATCCATGTCTATGTGGTCAATTAATATATGACAAAGGAGGCAAGATTATAAAAGGGGGTAAACACAGTCCATTCAATAAATAATGTTTGGAGAATTGGACAGTACATGCAAAAAAATGAAACTAGACTACTTTCTTGTATATGGTATAATATGGTATATGGTATACCATATATAAGAATAAACTAAAAATGGATTAAGGACTTAAATGTAAGACCTGAAACCATAAAACTTATAGAAGAAAACATAGGCAATAAACTCTCTAACATTGTCCTTTCTCTGATATATATCCTTGAACAAAGGAAACAAGAAAAAATAAATAAATGGGACTACATTAAACTAAAAAGTTTTTGCAAGGCAAAGGAAACCATCAACAAAATGAAAAGACAATCCACTGAATGGGAGAACATATTCGCCAATGGTACATCTGATAAGGGGTTAATATCCAAAGTTTATAAAGAACTCATACAAATCAACACCAACAAACAAACAAACAAAAAAACAACAAAATCCAAACAATTCAAATAAAAAATGGGCAGAAGACATGAATAGACATTTCTTCAAAGAGGACATACAGATGGCCAACCGACATGAAAAAAATGGTCAATGTCACTAATCATCAGAGATGCAAATTTAACCCACAATGAGATATCACCTCACACCTGTCAGGATGGCTATTATCAATAAATCAACAACAACAAATGTTGGTGACAATGTGGCCAAAAGGAAACCCTTGTGCACTGTTGGTGGGATTGCAAATTGGTATAGCCACTATGGAAAACTGTGAAGGTTCCTTAAAAAATTAAAGAGAGAATTACCTTATAACTGAGCAATTTCACTTCTGGGAATATGTCCAAAGAAATCCAAAACACTAATTCAAAAAGATATATGCACCCCCTATATTCATTGCAGCGTATTTATAATAGCCAAGATTTGGAAGCAACCCAAGTGCCCATCAATAGATGACTAGATAAAGGAGCTGTGGACTATTTCTCAGCCATAAAAAGGAATGAAATTTTACTATTTGCAACAACGTGGATGGAACTAAAGGGTATGATCTTAAATGAAATAAGTCAGAAGAAGACAAATATGATGTCACTTATTTAAAGAAATAAATAAACAAAACAAACTCATAGATACAGGGAACAAACTGAGAATTGCTAGATGAGAAGGACTTGGGGAAATGGGTGAAAAAAGATGAAGGGAGTAAGAAGTTACAAAATAGTCACAGGGATGTAAAGTAGAGCATAGGGAATATAGTCAATAATATTGTAATAACTATGTATGGTGCCAGGTGGGCACTGGAAATATTTGGGGGGTACACTTTGTAAAGTATATGATTGTCTAACTACTACACTGTACACCTAAAACAAATATAAACTTTTGAAAAAAAATTATGGGAATTACACTTTCTTTTTGTTACAAAGCTATGTCTTACATAGCATCATAATATCTGTTAGCTTGTAGACTGTACTATAATCCCTTCCATATTTTAAATGTCAAGGTCAGACAATTATGCTTTTCTCTGTATTAGCATACAGATTATAATGAAGGGCCTATTTCTGTGGATCTATAGGAAATGTTATGTTCCACATATCTTATTCAAAAATATTTACAGAATAAACTAAAATTTTTGATTTGCCTGTTCTTTGTCTAATTGTGGTGAAAATGAATCTCATGCAGGAGTGGGGTGACACAGGCCTCCCGGGCCATTTTGGGATATCCTATATAATAAAAGCCTAATATGCAAATCAACCAAATGGGAGAACAACCGGTGGAACAACCGGTCGCTATGATGCGCAGTGACTATCAGGGGCAGATGTTCAATGCAGGAGCTGCCCCCAGCCCGCAGGCCCTAGGCCGGCCAAGGTGGGTACCAGTGGGGGCCCCCTGATTGTCCTGCCAGTCACCCCACAGATCAGCCCTGATTGCTGGCCAGGCCTAGGGACCTACTCATGCACAAATTTTGTGCACCGGCCCTCTAGAGTGTGTGTGTGTGTTTGTGTGTATGGTTGAGTGGCACTCCCCCTGTGGGAGTGTACTGACCACTAGGGGGCAGCTCCTGCATTGAGTGTCTGCCCCCTGGTAGTCAGTGCGTGTCATAGCGACCAGGCGTTCTGGTTGGTCCTTCGTTAGGGGCAATTTGCATATTACTCTTTTATTATACAGGATTAGTTTTATGGAGGTATAAGCTATATGCGAGGAAATTGACCAGTTTTGAGAGTAAGTTCAGTGAGCTTTGACCAATAACTATAATTGTAATCAACATGATATAAAACATCCCATCACCCTGTAAGTTCCCCCATGGCCCTTGGAAGTCTGTATCTTCCTCTGCTACCTGGGCCCTGGACTACATTGATTTTTCTTTTAATCACATTAGTATTGATTTTCTAGAAAAGAAATCATATGCTATGTAGTCTTTTGTGGCTGGCATCTTCTATTTAGTAAAGCATTTCTCAACTTTTTTATTGCCCCCCCAACAGTCTTTTTAGACATTTTCCCATAATTGTCCCTCCCTTTCTTATGAAACTTTAATACCATAGATAGGCTGTATGTCTGTTTATGTAGTATATGTACATGTGTGTTTTATACATAAGTAGTAGTTTTTCACACCTCAAGAACAAACTTTTGACCCCTTGGGGGCGATATTGAGAATACATGATTTAGTAAGATGTTTTTGTCATTCATTGGTATTGTGTATATTAGTAGTTGCTTCATTTTTTAAAAAAATATCTTTTTATTGATTTCAGAGAGGAAGGGAATTGGAGAAAAAGATAGAAACATCAATGATGAGAGAGAACCATTGATCACTGTCTCCCACATGACCCTACCAGGGACCAAACCTGAAACCCAGGCATGTGCCCTGACTGGGAATTGAATGTGACCTCCTGGTTCACAGGTCACTGCTCAACCACTGAGCCACACCAGCCGGGCATTGGTTCATTTTTATTGCTGGGTAATTTTGGTTGTATGAAGAAACATTCAAGAGATGAATAAGAATAATTGTAAATGTGTTACGATGGTCAGGTACTAAGTGAATAATGTAATATCCTTCCTCACATTTGTTCCTGGTGCCAATACACAGATCTCTAATCACACATACACTCAAGTCAGAAATCAGAGAGTAATTGAGACACTTCTCTCCCGTCATTTCCCCATATACATCCTTCAAATCCTGTCAATTTCATCTGTACATTAGTTCTTAATCTGGTCTCAAGGGATCAGATTTTGCCATAACCAGAACATTTTAAACATGTAAGGATTTTGATTCTTATCTTTAAAAAATAGGAAACCATTGAAGGAATTTAAATAATTTGACTATTGTAATGAATAGATCTTAAATCTTCCATTTAGTGATATTGAGTTAGAATGTAGAAAAGGAATTAAAAAGACCAAGACTGTCCCGGAGCAGTGGTTCTCAACCTTCTGGCCCTTTAAATACAGTTCCTCATGTTGTGACCCAACCATAAAATTATTGTCGTTGCTACTTCATAACTGTCATGTTGCTACTGTTATGAATCGTCATGTAAATATCTGATATGCAGGATGGTCTTAGGCGACCCCTGTGAAAGGGTCGTTCGACTGCCAAAGGGGTCACGACCCACAGGTTGAGAACCTCTGGTCTAGGGGAAGGATCATTCAGGAGTCCTGAGGAAAAATAATAGTGGTTCTTTTATGGATGTGAGGTTGGGCGATGGGAGCCTTAGGAGACATGATGTGCTTTTGTGGGGTCCACGGACAGAGCTTGGCCAAGGCCCTAATGCTGGGTGATATTATAACTGTGATTAGAAATTCAGGTATACCTTCCTCTTGCTTTTTGCTGCCTTGACTTAGACAATTTTTTTTTTTTTTTTTTTTTTTTGCCAAACGAATCAGTATTTTAAATGAATTGAGCATAAATATTATTTATTTTTTATTTTTTTTAGGAAGGTTGAGACCACTGGCCTAAGGTTTATTTCTACCTCAGTTGTTGGCTCCTACCCAGCCTGGCCCTGGTCCGGGCTTGGGCAGGAGGCAACCAACTGATGTGTTTGTCTCTCGTCGATATTTCTGTCTTTTCCCTCTCTCCCCCACTCTCTCTAAACATCAATGGGAAAATATTCTCCCGTGAGGATTTAAAAAAACAAACAAAGGTGGGTAACCTAGTCAGAAGGTCAAATCTTCAAAGTGCATGCAAATTGCTCCTCCCAGGGGGTCTGGACTGAATGTTCTTGAGCATCTCCAGGAAGGCCTGCGGGGATGGTGCCTCCACATTCTGGAAGGTGTTCTGGACTCTGCCGAACAGGACCAAGTATTTCGCCTCCAGCCAGAGGAACCCGAAGTGGTTCTCATCGAACAGGATGAAGACTCCAGGGACACGCCCGGTGTAGGCGAAGCCATGTAAGGTAACATTAAAAGTAACAGTGTCCCTGCCATAGAAACACATCCTGCAGGTCCGGGGGTAGTTCTGGTCCATTGAGCGCACGCCCACAGGCAGAACAAAGGGGACGGGCTGCTCCTCCGAAGCTGCAGCCCCGGACTCCCCGACGCTGGGCTGGGCAGGGCTCTGCCAGCCATGGCCCTCGCTTTCCTCAGTCCCATCTTCTTGCTGCTGCTGCTGCTGCTGCTGCTGCTCCCAGATCACCTGCTCGTCAATCTCCTGGACCTCGCGGGAGAGCTCGTTGAAGTCGCGGAAGATCTCGCCATCTCGCAGCTGGATGCGGCGCCTGAGGTGGATCTCTAAGCTGGGGTTGGAGTCTCCCGTGACTGTCGTGAGCCTGGCATACTTCCCATGGAAGCTGAGCATGGCAATCGATAGGCCGTAGGCATTGCAGTTGGCTTGGAAGAGGCCTGGCCTGATGAGGTCGTCCGGGTGGCTCGGAGGGAGGTAGAGGCGGCGGTAGGTCAGGCAGTCATACTGCTGTCTGTCCTCCCGCACCAGCCACCGCCCAAATTCATCCCTATGCCACGTTGGTGAGTCCTTTCGGTGGTCTGTCTTCTTGCACTGGGTGGTGAACCTGTCCTTCTGAATCTGCAGGTGGCGGCTGTGGGGCCTGCTGTGGCGGCCTTCCATGCACTCCACCGTGGCTGATTCCCGCTCCGTCAGGCAAATTCTGAACGCGGGCTTGAATGGCATTGGGCCATCCACATGGGTGTTAAGGGAAGGCCTGTACGTCCAACCAGTAATGCATAAGCCGTCCACCACGACATTCAGCAGTGTTCTATAGTCCTCAGTATCTAGCTGCCACAATCCCAAAATGTGTCTGTATGGGAATATCTTCGCATAGACTTCTCGGTAAGAGATACCTATGGCCTCCAGGTTCTGCAAGTTTTCACAAACGCCATACTCCTCGCGGCAGCGCCGTCTCCAGATGCTGTCAATGTGCAGGATGTGGTGGAATTTGGTGCAGGCCAGGGCCAGGCTGGGCAGGTCGGTGCCGGGGAGCGAGGCGGAGATCTCCACCAGCATCTCCACCGGCAGGTCCTGCAGTGAGCAGTGCGGGGGCATCGGGGATGTCATGGGGCTCGCGATTCCTCCACTCCCGGCACAGCACCGCGCTGCCGCTTCCGCCTCCACGTGCTTTTCTGCCGGGACCCGGGCTGGCTTGCCCTTGGCCGCTGCCATCTCAGCTGGGCCCTGGTGCTCCTGACAACACCGCTTGCCCTCAGCCGCTGCCATCTCCGCTGGGCGCTGGCGCTTCTGACGACACCGACATCCCCGCGAAGAGCCCATGACGCAGGGGCAAGCGCACTCCTCCATGCCTCCACGGGAAACAGCCACCACAATGTGAGCTGCTGCTCCTCAGCCGGGCTTTAGCTGGCTCTTCCCGCCCTTTAGTCCAGCCACGCCCCCAGGGCCTAGCCACGCCCCCTCAGAGGAGCCAATTGTAGGACTTTAAACCCATACCCATTAACAGTCGCCTCCCTTTCCCAGTGCCCCCTCCCTGTCCTCCCGCCCTAGCCCCAGGCAGTCACTAATCTGCTTTCTGTAGGGATATGCCTCCAGGGATATGCCTATGGGTGGGGGGGGGGGGGGACATTTCACATAAATGCAGTCGTAATATCTGGTCTTTTGTGACTGGCTTCTTTCACTTAGCATAACATTTTAAAGTTTTATGTATGCTATATTCTGGTATATGGGTATACCACATTTTGTTTACCCATTCATCAGTTGATGAATATTTGGGTTGTTTCCAGTTTGAGGCTCTTTTGAATAACGCCGCTATGAACATTGTGTACAAGTGTTTTGTGAGAACATGTTTCCATTTCTTTTGGGTATGTACCTAGAAGTGGAACTTCTGGGTCATCTGGTAACTCTATGCTTAGCATGTTGAGGAACTGCCAAAAACGTTTTCCAATGTGGCCCCGCTATTTTACATTTCCACCAGCATTGCACGAGGGGTCCAATTTTTAAACATTCTCATGAATGCTTTCTTTTTTTATCTTTAATTTGTTTATTGGTTAAGGTATTACAAATGTGTCCTCATCCCCCCCATTAACCCCCAACTCCCCCCCCCCACCCCCCGCCCCACTCATGCTCTCATCGCCCTGTTGTCCGTGTCCATTGGTTTGGTTTATATGTGTGCATGCAAGTCCTTTAGTTGATCTCTTCCCGTTACCCCCACCCTCCCCTACTTTCCCTCTGGGGATTGATAGTCTGATCACTGTTTCTCTGTCTTTGGATCTGTCCCTGTTCATCAGTCTATGTTGTTCTCTATATTCCACAAATGAGTGAGATCATGTGTTATTTATCTTTCTCTGACTGGCTTATTTCACTTAGCATAATGCTCTCCAGTTCCATCCAGGCTGTTGCAAATGGCAAGAGTTCCTTCTTTTTTACCGCAGCATTGTATTCCATCATGTAGATGTACCACAGTTTTCTAATCCACTCATCTGCTGATAGGCACTTAGGCTGTTTCCAAATCTTAGCTATGGTGAATTGAGCTGCTATGAACATAGGGGTGCATATATCCTTTCTGATTGGTGTTTCTGGCTTCTTGGGATATATTCCTAGAAGTGTGATCACTGGGTCAAATGGGAGTTCCATTTTTAGTTTTTTGAGGAAACTCCATACTGTTCTCCACAGTGGCTGCACCAGCCTGCATTCCCACCAGCAGTGCACAAGTGTTCCTTTTTCTCCACATCCTCTCCAACACTTGTTGATTTGTTGATGATAGCCATTCTGGCGAGTGAGAGATGATACCGCATTATCGTTTTGATTTGCATCTCTCATATAATTTTGACTTTGAGCATGTTTTCATATGTCTTTCAGCCTTCTGTATGTCCTCTTTTGAAAAGTGTCTATCTATGTCCATTGCCCATTTTTTGATTGGATTGTTTATCTTCCTATTGTTAAGTTGCATGAGTTCCCTGTAAATGTTGGAGATTAAACCCTGTTGTCCCTGTCTTTGGATCTGTCATTGGCAAATATGTTCTCCCATGCACTGGGCCTTCTTGTTGTTTTGTTGATAGTTTCCTTTGCTGAGCAAAAGCTTTGTATTTTGATGTAGTCCCATTTGTTTATTTTCGCTTTCGTTTCCATTGCCCTAAGAACAGTATCAGAGAAGAAATTCCTTCAGCATATGTTTGCGATTTCGCTGCCTGTGGATTTAGTATTTTTATGGTTTCCCGTCTTACGTTTAAGTCTTTTATCCATTTTGAGTTTATTTTTGTGTATGGTGTGAGTTGGTGGTCTAGTTTCATCTTTTTGCATGTATCTGTCCAATTTTCCCAACATCCATTTATCTAAGAGACTGTCTTGACTCCATTGTATGCTCTTGCCTCCTTTGTCGAATATTAATTGGACATAGTGGTATGGGTTGATTTCTGAGTTCTCTATTCTATTCCATTGATCTATATGTCTGTTCTTGTGCCAGTACCAAGCTGTTTTAAGAACAGTGGCTTTGTAATACAGCTTGATATCTGGTATTGAGATCCCACCTACTTTGTTCTTCTTTCTCAGGATTGCTGCAGCTATTCGAGGTCTTTTTTTTTTATTCCAGATGAATTTTTGGAACGTTCGTTCTAGATCTGTGAAATATGTCATTGGTAATTTAATGGGGATTGCATTGAATCTATAGATTGCTTTGGGTAGTATGGACATTTTGATGATGTTGATTCTACCAATCCACGAACTTGGTATGTTCTTCCATCTATTTATGTCTTCCTCTATATCTCTTTTCAGTGTCCTGTAGTTTTTCGCATATAAGTCTTTTACCTCCTTAGTTAAGTTTATTCCTAGGTATCTTAATTTTTTTGGTGTGATGGTAAATGAGATTCCTTTTTTAGTCTCACTTTCTGTAAGTTCACTATTGGTGTAAAGAAATACCATAGATTTCTTGGCATTATTTTGTATCCTGCTACATTGCTGAATTCATATATTAAGTCTAATAATTTTTTGATGGAGTCTTTAGGGTTCTCTATGTACAGTATCATGTCATCTGCAAATAAGGACAGTTTTACTTCTTCTTTTCCAATTTGGATGCCTTTTATTTCTTCTTCTTGTCTGATCGCAATGGCTAGTACTTCCAGTATTATGTTGAACAGGAGTGGTGAGAGGGGGCATCCCTGTTGTTCCTGTTTTAGGGGAAATGGTGTTAGTTTTTGTCCATTGATTATGATGTTGGCTGTGGGTTTGTCATATAAGGCTTTTATTATGTTGAGGTATGATCCTTCTATTCCTACCTTGCTGAGAGTTTTTATCAAGAAAGGGTGTTGGATTTTGTCAAATGCTTTTTCTGCATCAATTGATATGACTATGTGGTTTTTATTTCTCAATTTGTTTATGTGATGTATCACGTTTATTTATTTGCGGATAAAATTGTACCATCCTTGTATCCCAGGGATAAAACCTACTTGGTCATGGTGTATGATCTTTCTAATGTACTACTGGATCTGATTTGCTAGGATTTTGTTGAGGATTTTGGCATTATGTTCATGAGGGATATTGGCCTGTAATTCTCTTTCATTGTGTTGTCTTTATCTGGTTTTGGTATTAGGGTGATGCTGGCTTCATAGAATAACCTGGGAAGTGTTCCTTCCTCTTGAATTTTTTGGAATAGTCTGAGGAGGATAGGTTGTAGTTCTTCCTTGAAAGTTTGGTAAAACTCCCCTGTGAAGCCGTCTGGCCCCGGGCTTTTGTTTGCTGGGAGCTTTTTGATGACTGCTTCAATTTCTTCCATAGTTATTGGCCTATTGAGATTTTTAGATTCTTCCTGATTAAGTTTTGGAAGGTTGTATTTTTCTAGGAATATGTCCATTTCCTCCAGGTTGTCTTGTTTGTTAGAGTAGAGTTGTTCACAGTATTTTTTAACAATCCTTTGTATTTCTGTGGGGTCTGTTGTTATTTCTCCTCTTTCATTTCTGATTTTGTTTATTTGGGTTCTTTCTCTTTGTTTCTTAGTGAGCCTGGCTAGAGGTTCATCAATCTTGTTTATCCTTTCAAAGAACCAGCTCTTGGTTTTGTTGTACTTTGGAATTGTTTTTTTGGTCTCTATGTCATTTATCTCCACTCTGATCTTTATTATTTCCTTCCTTCTGCTTACACTGGGCTTTTCTTGTTGCTCTCTTTATAACTCTTTGAGTTGTAGGGTTAGGTGATTTATTATCATTGTTTCTTTTTTTGCAGTAGGCTTGTAGAGCTATGAACTTCCCTCTCAAGACTGCTTTCGCTGTGTCCCATAGGTTTTGGATTGTCGTGTTTTCATTGTCGTTTGTTGCCATGATGTTTTTTATTTCTTCTTTGATCGCTCTGGTAACCCAGTCATTATTTAATAGCGTGCTATTTAGTCTCCGTGTGTTTGATTTTTTTGAATTGTTTTTATTGTAGTTGATTTCCAGTTTTATGCCATTGTGATCTGAGAAGATGCTTGATATGATTTCTATCTTCTTGAATTTGAGGAGACTTTGTCTGTGACCCAATATATGGTCTATCTTTGAAAATGACCCATGTGCACTTGAGAAGAGTGTATATTCTGTGGCTTTGGGGTGAAATGTTCTGAAGATGCCAATTAATTCCATCTGATCTAGTGAGTCATTTAGGATTGATGTTTCTTTGCTGATTTTTGTTTAGAGGATTTGTCCAATGGTGATAGTGGTGTGTTAAAGTCCCCTACTATGATTGTATTGCTGTCAATCTCTCCCTTGATCTCCTCCAAAAGTTTTCTTATGTATTTGGGTGCTCCTATATTGGGTGCATATATGTTTACCAGAGTTATATCTTCTTGTTGTATTGATCCCTTTAGTATTATGAAGTGGCCTTCCTTATCTCTTTTTATGTCCTTCACTTTGAGATCTAATTTGTCAGATATAAGTATTGCTATCCCAGCTTTTTTTTTCATTTCCAATCGCCTGAAAAACCTTTTTCCATCCCTTCACCATCAGTCTGTGTACGTCTTTTTTTATGAGGTGGGTTTCCTGTAGACAGCAGATATATGGGTTATGTTTTCTTATCCACTCAGTTACCCTATGTCTTTTGATTGGGGCATTTAATCCATTTACATTTAAAGTTATTATCGATAGATACTTGTTTGTTGCCATTTTTATTCTTTACCCCTGTGTTCCTTCTTTGTTTCTTTTTCTTTTTCTTTTTCTTTTTCTTTTTTTTTTACAGCAGACCCTTTAGCATTTCTTGCATTGCTGGTTTGGTGGTAATAAACTCCCGTAGTCCTTTTTTGTCTGTGAAGCTCTTATTTCACCCTCAATTTTGATTGATAGCCTTGCTGGGTACAGTATTCTTGGATTCAGACCCTTCCTTTGCAT